GCGCGAGGAGGCCAGGCAGGGCGCGACGGGGCCGGGGCGGGCGCGACAGGGCCTAGGAGGCACGACGGGGCCCAGGAGAGGCGCGACGGGGCTAGGAGGCGCAGCGGGGCCCAGGAGGGGCGCGCCGAGGTTAGGAGGCACGACGGGGCCCAGGAGGGGCACGACGGGGCCAGGCGGGCGCGACGGGGCCAGGCAGGGCGCGACGGGGCCTAGTGGGCGCGACGGGGCCTAGGAGGCACGACGGGGCCCAGGAGGGGCGCAACGGGGCTAGGAGGCACGACGGGGCCCAGGGAGGCGCGACGGGGCCTAGGAGGCACGACGGGGCCCAAGAGGGGCGCAACGGGGCTAGGAGGCATGACGGGGCTCAGGAGGGGCGCGACGGGCCCTAGGAGGCACTACGGGGCCCAGGAGGGGCGCGACGGGGCTAGGAGGCGCGGCGGGGCCCAGGAGGGGCGCGACGGAGCTAGGAGGCGCGACGGGGCTAGGAGGTGCGACGGGGCCCAGGAGGGGCACGCCGGGGCCAGGCAGGCGCGACGGGCCAGGCAGGGCGCGACGGGGCCTAGCGGGCGCGACGGGGCCTAGGAGGCACGACGGGGCCCAGGAGGGGCGCGACGGGGCCTAGGAGGCACGACGGGGCTAGGAGGCGCGGCGGGGCCCAGGAGGGGCGCGACGGGGCTAGGAGGCGCGACGAGGCTAGGAGGCGCGACGGGGCCTAGCTAGGGTATGGGCGGAAGCGGTAGGTGGGGGATTCTAACATACGCGTGATACCATGTTAAAGTAAGAACTGAATAATAAACTAGAAGAAAAAACCTAGAACAAATACTAGTTGGTTGTACTCACTAGAAGCATACCCCAGTCTAGCCTCTACATAGCTAATATGTATAAGTTGACACCTGAACCTGTGGTGCTTTGGTTTGATCGGCACCCCATCCCATGTTTCCGGTGTGTTTGCCCCACAGCACACCCTTATTATTGATTCGATTGTGCGCCCCCTGGTGGCCACATGACATTGACTGTGTGAGGGTTAGCCGAGCACATTTGCTCCCCATTGCTCAAGAACCTCGTACTGCTTTGGAAAGGTCTTTAAAAAATGGGACAGAGACCAGCTGAAAGCGGGTATGTATCGCACGGGTGGCTCTCCTGTTGGCCGATGGCTGCGTCGCGGCGGCCGCGCCGCCGGGGTTGAGGTTGGGGGGGCTGTAGAGACGTGGCTGTTGGCGGGGTGGCTTGGCAGGCGTGTATGTGGCTACCCCTCTGGCTTGATTGGTCTTAGCTCGGGCGTCGTCTTCGTGACAAAGCTCGTTAACTCTGCCAAGCAACCCGCGCCGCCGCTTCAGCAGCAGCCTCACGCTGCAATGGGCACATATGGGAGACAGGGGGTAAGGGGGAGCGGGCAAGCCATGTTGAATGCTGGTATGATGCAGTTCTGGTGGAACAGCAGTCTAGATTCCAACGAGCACATGGCAGTTATGGGTGGCATACCTGGGTAGCATCCGGCGCATAGGTGTCGATCGCGGGAGAGTGGTTGGCCCCTTGCTGACGGAGTTGTCAACAGCGCCCAATGTGGTCTCCGCCTGTGGCCGGGGGGATTTGGAGCCTGTGCCATGGCAAGTGCAAAAGGGGAATGGAGGGTGGCGTGACCAAATGTGGGTGGCAGTGGCGAAAGGATGGTGTGTTATCCGGGCCCATGTGCTATAGGGTGCTGTGTATGGCACCACACCACCGCAGAAGTGGACGACATCAGAATAATTGAGGAGGGGAGGGGTCTTACGAGGGGGGTGGGAGGGGGAGGGGGGTGCTGGGGGAAGGAAACAGCGTGCAGGATATGGTTGAAGGGTGTTGAGGAGGGGGGGAGAGGGAGAAGAGGATAGGGGGAAAGGGAGAGGAGGAAAGGGGGAGAGGTAGAGGAGGATAGGAGGAGTCGGAGAAGAGGTTAGGGGGAAAGGGAGTGGAGGATGAAAGGGAGATGCGCATAGGGGGAAAGGGAGTGGAGGACTGGGGGAAAGGGAGATGCGGATAGGGGGAAAGGGAGTGGAGGATTGGTGGAAAGGGAGATGCGGATAGGGGGAAAGGGAGTGGAGGATTGGTGGAAAGGGAGATGCGGATAGGGGGAAAGGGAGTGGAGGATTGGAGGAAAGGGAGATGTGGATAGGGGGAAAGGGCGTGAAGGATTGGTGGAAAGGGAGATGCGGATAGGGGGAAAGGGTGTGGAGGATTGGTGGAAAGGGAGATGCGGATAGGGGGAAAGGGTGTGGAGGATTGGAGGAAAGGGAGATGCGGATAGGGGGAAAGGGTGTGGTGAACAGGGGGGAAGGCAGAGGAGATTTGGGGGAAAGGGAGAGGGGGATAGGGGGAAAGGGATATGTAGATGTGGTCACATGGTGGGCAGGATAAGGGTTTTCTGGGAGAGGAGGTTAGGGGGAAAGGGGGTGGAGGCTATGGGGCAAAGGCGAGGAGGCGAGGGGGATACGTAGAACAGGGAGGTGGTTACCGGTCAGGTGGCCGGGAATACATTAGGTTTGTATGTGTGGAATTTATCGGGTCAGCTTGTAGCTGACCTCTAGCGCCGGGGACCATCTAGTCGCCTCCGCACACCTATTCTCTGTTTTCTAAGTCCCCCACCCTTGCACCCCCCCGCCGATCCACTGCTCCCCATCGCTCCTAAGTTGGCCATTTTTGCGGCGCCTCTCCCAGCTCTCTCCTGTGGCTGTTCTGGGTTGCTTTTGAGGCTCCACTCTAAAGTGGCCCATGCAATGGGCAGCCTAATCGCACTGCAGCGGGCAGTGCGTGTCTTGGTGGGGCGTGGAGCAAGTTTGTGGTAGCGCCGCCGTGTTAGCGCGCGTCCTTAGGTGGCACAGCGCTGGCCTGTAAGTACTGCCTAGATCTCCGTACCGGATCTCGTTTTTGATCGCCTCGCGGTGATTTATCCCCATCGCGGGTTCCGTTTTTTCCAATCGCGTCACGGTGATTATCGAGGGAAATCGCATTTGGCTGGATAACTACAGTTTCCGGCACTGCGGTCGGTTATCTATGGATGTGTGACCTGTCGCCCGTTTGTTACCTTTTGAAGCCCGGCTAGGTGTCTGCAGCGTGCTCTAATCCGTTACTTGCTACCACCGAGACGCTGGTTTGGGCTGTGGAAACCCGCACCCCAACAAAACGCTCACTTGTGAACTCGGTCTTCTCTGCGCTTGCAGCCGTTTCCGAATTTCTCGCCTCGCTGGACTCCATTGCCACAGTCCGATAGACTAAGTTTTTCAGTTGTCGGGCCTGTTTTGGTTACGCTCTCAAGCGTGGCCTGCAGGACGTGTGTAGGTTTAGAAGTCTGCTGGCGTGGTGTTTCGCATTGTGAATTCGCAAAATGGGTCGCAGTGTTGCTGCGACCCAATTCGCGATTGCCGTTATTTCGTCCCACTCGCCCAACTCCTCTGCAGCACTCGTCCCTCGCCACCCAATCCTGGTCCGTCAACCCAACCGAGTGTTTTACACTCAGTAAAATTGGGTCCCTGGCTTTAAAGGACCTCACAGGAGTTTCACCGGACCCTTACGGGACCCTCACGGAACCTTTATCGGAGTATCACGGGACCTGTACAGGACCTCCAAGCACAGGGAGTGGTAGACCCGAGGTTGTAGGTCAATTGTCTAGCCATACAAATTGTAGCGGCTATTTCGCTGGAAGAAGACCCAGTCAAAACCGAGCTGGTGAAGAGAGTGGCATATCCTCCCCTAGGGCTCGCCTCCCTCTACGCACTGCTCAGTCACTGGAAAGGAGTGTTGAAGGGAATGGGAAAGATCGTTTCGGCCTTCGCTCGCTCACTACTGGCCAACATCCAAGAGACCTTGTCGCGGCTGAAGGTCGAGCACAAACATATGCGCTTTAACAAGAGCATCATGAAAAGGGGGATCAATCCATTTGGGAACCAGAAAGATACAGACTAACAATGATAGATATGATTCAACATTTCCTAGAGGAGTTAGAAAGAGAAATCCACTGCAGGCGCTCACTACGGAACTTAGCAAGCAAAAAGCAGCAGACACCACGATTGAAGCATTCGATGTGGCACCAAACAACTAGCAGGAGCAGATGCTGGACCTGTTGATAGTGGAGGGAATCAGAGTTGCAATGTAGTCCACTGGTACGTGTACCTTTCAAGGGGCATTAGAGACACTAAACCACGTGAAATAGATTGGATTGATAGGGAGAGACTACTCTGTAAGCGGGTCAATCTGGAGATCCAATTAATAATTGTCCGCTCGGAGGACCCATGGACGACAGTGCTGCTGACCGTGGATGAGATAGGACCATCAAGCTACAGTAATAGGTGACCAAATGATAGGACTGGTGGGGAAACCAAGACTGAGATTACTCGACACGACACTCTGCGAGGAAGGAACCGCACCTCTCAAGAAACAAAGACCAACAATACCGTAACAATACAGACAAGGGCAACTGTGAAGCAGCGGATGTGGTAGCAGAGATGGAGAAAGACAATAGACAAGAAGAGGTGCATCAAGACGAGGGAATCCATGGTCAAACTTAGCAACGTCGTCTAATACCGTATTCCCCCGGATAAAACACCCACGGGTGGCACTAAATTTTGATGCAAATTTTAATGGGGGTGTAATTAGTGGCACTTTTTGTATAACGCCCGGGAGCTATGGAATGACAATTTTATGTTTATGAGCTGGAATTCAACTGTGTTGTAGACAGTTCTTTTGTGCCGAATTTTGACGATTCTTGCACGTGATCGCGTATATGGTGACCGACATGGATTCTCCCGCGTTGCAGTGTTGACTGTGAGGAGTGTGTTCCCATGAGCCTCGTACTGTATCAGACTCGCAACATTCGCCTGAGTGACGAGAATTCCAGGCATGGTAACAGCTCTACACCGCATTGAACCGATTCGCGTCGAGCTTGCACTGCTCAGTGACGCGCGAGTCTGATAAGAGACACTCTGATAAGAGGCAAAATCTAAAGAAATACAGTGAATCTAGGGGGGTGGTGTATAGGATTCATGCCAAAAACTAGGGTGGTATGAATATCCAGTTTAATAAAGCACCCAGGTCCGCCCAAACCACCCATGGGTGATTAATTCCGGCGGGTGTTTTATCCGGGGGAATACGGTAATCCTCCACGTATAACTTCGAAGGCCTTATATTCTACCACGATCGTCTTCTAGCGTGATCAGGGTTTTATCCCCCTCCATGAGTTTGCTACCCTGTGCACATATTCCGAGGAGATCATAAAATGGATGTCGATAATACAATAAGCTTGTCGACACAATAGCTTCACTTATCGACACAGTTCATGAGATTATGTACTGCCAGACGATCCTGCGAGAAGGCCTATGTTCTTTGCACGGGCAATCTCGGCACTGAAATTAGCATCCACTGCAATGAAGGCAAGCTCCCTGTCAATGCGGCATGCTGCCCTGTCCAGGTCAGCTCCAAAGAAGTCACTCTTCATCTGCTGGAGCTCAGCCAGTATGCGGATCATGGAGGGGCGCGAGGCAGTGGGCATGGCTGTGCAGGCAAGGGCAAGGCGAGCCATGCGTAACACCAAATTGTCCGGTGCTTCCAATTGCGGGTCCTTGAATGCCGCCACTGCGTTGGATGCCACCAGCGGAGCCACCTGCATGGATAGTTTGGAAGGGGAAGAAGCAATGACTAGGTTCATGCTGTTTATCAAGGTATGTGAGCGTTCTCAAGAGGGTTTCTTTTGAAATGTACTAGTGAAACCACATGAATGGGAAGAGAAGGCAGTTGCCTTTCACGAAAGGGGGCAGCCCTTGAACCGCTCACCCATTGCTTGAGGGTGGTCTGGCTGTCATCGCCCATATGAATGGCCTTGCGTGCTGTGATCACCACCAGCATCACGACTCCAAAGCTGCCATGCAGGCCAACAAAGCATTGGGTGGATGGGACAGGTGAGCAGTGACTGTTAGCGCAACACCACCCTCAATGTGAAGTATTCAGGCGCATTTTCTACTCAGCGTACAACTGTTGCTGGAGTGTGGCACATGCCATTGCCACTCCTCACCTGTGCACATCAGCTGTAGGAGTGGCCTTCTGTGTCTTCAAGTAGGCAGGGTCCACATAGCCCGGTGTTCCCATCACTCGAGTGGCAGTCATTGAAGTGCCTCCCACCAGCCTCACAAGGCCGAAGTCTGCAATTCGAGCCTGTGGGGTCAACAAGAGCCACTCCATAACTGGATTATCCTGGGGTTAGACCAGCGTGACCCTGACATAACGTACTGCCTATGCTGTTAAAATCACCTCAAACCCAGCTGGTTGCATTTCAAGGTGCGTCATTCCACAAGGCATGCTGCAGAAGGGCACGCACCTGCATCTTGGAGTCCAGGAGGATGTTGGCTGGCTTGATGTCGCGATGCACAATGCCAAACTCATGCAGGTACCGCAGCCCCTGAGCCGCCCCTACGAGAACATCCAGCCGCTGCTGCGCTGTCAGGGACCTGGGGACACCTGGCAGCAGGCAGGCAAGAATGTCCGGAGGGAGGTTGAGCATATACGTGCATCATAATGCCGCAGCATGCATGGCTGCTGCATCATACTGGAGGAAGTTCAAGAAAACAAGCAAGCACGAATGGAAAGCGAGTAGTGGGAGTGGCTGCAGCGGGTGCGTGCAGTGACCACTTGCCGGGTCCAATCCAGGCCTCGAGGTCCCCGTTCGCCATGAACTCATACACGAGCACTTGCTCCATGCGCGCCGTGGCCGCGTCCACGTCCACACAGTACCCCAGCAGCCGCACCAGGTTCGGGTGGTGCTTCGACTCCATCTCCTTCACCTGCCACCCAGCAGGTCGCAACAATCAAGTTGAAGATTTCTGGTTCCTTGCCAAGCCGGAAGCACCTGCGCACTTGCATGCATGCCATCAGAAGTGAGAAGTGAAGGCATGCGGCATGCACGCCATCCCTGGCCATCACCTCTCTGTGGAAGTCATTGGTGAGCAGCTTGGCGCGCTTCACAGCCCATAGCTCAGAGGGGTCATGGGGAGATGCGCCCTTGTACACATCCCCAAAGCTGCCGCTGCCAATCCTGTTCCCCTCTGCCCAATCCCCCGTGGCCCTCGCCATCTCCGCCAGGGAGTACTTCCTGCACACATGGGGCCCCGCCCCACCCAGCCCTACCATTCCTGCATCCAACGCTGCTCCCCCACCCCCTGCCCTTGCCTGTAGAGCCAGCGCTGCTGCTGCCTCCGCACCTGGTGCTGCAACCCAGCAAACAAAAGTAGTGGAGATGGGCGAGGCTCGTGTCACCCTCAGATTCTGAAATTCGACAACACAACCTTTCCAGTAACCATCCGTGCAAGCAAGAGACGGCCTGGAACAGCTGCCTGGAACGGCCTGGAACAGGTGCCTTGAACAGCATAGTCTAGTCCCTGGGTTCGTCTTTAAGCTACAGCCTTACCTGCAACAGGGAAGCCTGCAGGGTGTTCCGAATGCTGCTGGCTGCTGACTGCTCTCATGCACAGGCACACCGCCAGCAGCAGCACGGCCACTATGGCAGCACCAGCAGCAGCCGCAACGCCGATGATGGCAGCCGTTGACAGGCCGGCTCCAGAGGAAGGCGTTGGCGGTGCAGAGGGAGGTGATGCAGGTGAGAGGGGAGTGGTGGGAGGAAGTGAAGAGGGAGGGGCAACAGGGGGTGGAGGTGACGAGGGCGGTGGGGTGGACGGAGGTGCTGCTTGTGAGGGCGGTGCTAGTGAGGGTGATGCTTGTGAGGGCGGCGCTAGTGAGGGTGATGCTTGTGAGGGCGGCGCTAGTGAGGGTGATGCTTGTGAGGGCGGCGCTAGTGAGGGTGCGGCTTGTGAGGGCGGTGCTAGTGAGGGTGATGCTGGGGGGGAGGGCATAGAAGGGGGGGCTGGAGAGAAGGGGGTGGGAGAGAGGGGCGACGCATAGACATGGTATGGGTGAGAGGCAGCAGATTGACTGCGAGAAAGTGCTGTTGCAGGGCAGATGAGCATGAGACATGATGGAACTTGCAAGTCACAGGCAATAAGGGGAAACGAGTGGAGTGGGGTGGCGCTCACATCCAGCCATACAAGCACTGCTATGCTGTGATGAGTGGATAGGTAGGACATCGTGAAACAAAGGTGGCAGATATGTGGGCATGCAAGGCAAGAACCAATGGGATTCGCTCTTGTTGTCCCCATTGCTTACCCTTGCCGGCTATTCTCTAAGACACAGCAAATGGCTTATCTCGTTGTGTGCATGGCTGACCTTGCTGCAAGCACGCCCCACAGATGAAGCCACAGAGCATGCAGGGGTTGGAAGGGTCGAGTGTGTTGAGCGTGCACGAGCCACTGTCTGCCGGGCACACGAGGAAGTTACCCTCCGTGGCGCTGCATGGGAGATGGTGAGCAAACAGATGGTGCTCGGTTTTGGCACCAGTTCACCATTTCAACAGGCACATGATGCTGGCATGATGGACTTGTTAGAATGGTGGGTCTGTTAGACGTTGCATACACCTGAGTGAGCTGAGGCAGAGAGCCAAGGAATGTGGGGAAGGTCCCGGTCAAAGAGTTGTTGGCTGCATCGCTGCATGGAAGATAGGGAGTCAGAAAAAACACAGATTGCTGGGAGGGTGTGGGGGGAAGCATCGCCCAGAGCAGACATTGGGTATGCAAGATTGTGGTACACGATGCATCCAATACATACTCCTGCGGTCCAACAGCTTTTCCTGGCTGACTTCTTCTACGCATGTGACTAAGGCACTTGAGAGGTCAAGGTCAGCACAGGTGACAGGGCGTGGAAGGCACTGCAAGGTGCGGTGCACTCACAAGTGTTGAAGCCTTGTGAGCTGTGCAAAAGACGAGGGGATGGAGCCTGTCAACCCGTTCCCATTCAATAGTCTGCACCATGGACACACAGGGGTAAGGGTTTTAGGGATTGGTGGGTGGTGGTGGCCGCACAGAGCATGGCAGAGAAGAAATGAACGAGACTGCACATGAGATGCACGCGCACTGCTCAAGTACCGATGATTGGAACGCATGTGCTTGTGACGGGTCACGGCACAGATGGGCACTGACTCACAGGTTGGTGAGGTTGACAAGGTTGCCCAGTGATGCTGGGATGGAGCCCCGCAGTTGATTTTCCCTGAGAGCTCTGAGCGCCGCATGCACACACATGGATGGAACGAGGCATGGGCATGGGCGCATGCGGAACACCTGATGTCACAACCACTGATCCTCTCCTCGCCTTGTCCTTTGGCACATGGAAGCAAGCAACCCCGTCAAGCAACGAAACAACCCCCCCATCCCCACTCACAGGCTTGCGAGATTGGTGAGATCACCCAGCGCAGGAGGGATGGGCCCTGTCAGGCCAGCTGCATCCAGCCCCCTGATGCATGCACACACGAGCAAGGGCACTCATGCAGGCTCAAATGGCACCCATGCAGGGATCCATGAGGCGTGGATAGGATGGAACAGGGACTTCCGTGCGTGCGCCTCAGTTGCCTGGCCTTGTGCAAAAATGGATCAATGAAATCAACCAGCTTTGCACACAAACCACGAAACCTAAAAAGTACCCCCCCTTGCTCACACAGGGTGTGCCTCAGAACTACCAGGCAGCAGCCGATGGCACGAGGGCACTGACAGGTACAAGAGGTTGGCAAGGTTGCCAAGTGACGCTGGGATGAAGCCCTCCAGCTGATTGCTGCCCAGAAACCTGACACGGGAGGATGAAGAGGAGACGCTCTCAGCTGTCAAGGGGCTGCAATGAGACGCATGCATGCAATGGAGGGCAAGCTGTGGGCAGTAGTCTGGGTTGTCAGAGCAGTCAGGCTGGCGGCATTGTCTGCGGGCAGCCATGGGCATCCCTCACTGCACCGCATGTGCCATGGCACCACTCCTGCGGCACTGAAGAAGCGGGTTTACAAGGGATGGCTCGTTCAACTGGGGGTCACAAAAAGGTGGAAAAGGACTTCAATGTGGATGCACAGTTGGCGTAACCAGACCGAAATCATCAGGTTGGAGGGTTTCTGCCGCGATAGGCTCATGTGTCGCAAGGCAACTTGACAGGTGATTCCAAGGTGAGCAGAAAGGAAGAGAGGCTTGTATGCACGCTTCCAGGCGCTGTGAGACGCCTGGACACGAGCCCAAGGGGGCGACAGGGCGAAAGTAGGGGGATCAGCAGGGCCTCAAGCTGCCTTGGGAGACGGCTTACATTCCGGGGTCCTTTGGCTTTTGATGCTTTCCCTCGTTGCTGCTCAACAGCGAACGGAGGGAGGCACCGCAGCAAGCTGGCTTTGCATGCCTTGCTTGAAAGGTGAAAGCAGCACGCCCGTGCATGCCTTTGTTGCTTGGGTGTGCTGAGTGCACTCACAGGCTCTCAAGGTTGGTGAGGTCGCCCAGTGATGGCGGGATGGGTCCACTCAGCTCATTGCGGTCCAGGTACCTGCAAACAAGCACACATGCACACACGCATGTACAGCATACGTGATACAGCAAGCATGTGCTCCGTGTAGTGCAGTGCATGCACGAGCGCAGGTGGCACCGACACACACAGGTGGGCTGTTGAAGCGAGCCACCAGTGCCACCCGGGATCAGAATGGATGGCAGTGCATGGAAAACGAGCTGAGCGAAGCAGAGGAGTGGTGCATGTGCAAGGGAATTTAACAGAGGATAAGCAGCAGCACCCACTGAAGAACCATGACATTCCCATTTAGAGGTAGAAGAGCAGTATGCAGGGCTGATGCGTGGCGACTCACACGGATCGCAGGTTGAGGAGATTTCCGATGGACGACGGAATGGTGCCACTCAGCTTGGTTAATGTTAACCCCCTGCGCACAGAGGAAGCCAGGGGGGTGTTGGAACAGGAGCACAAGGGTTGCTGAGGGGGTGTGGGCGCTGCAGGTGCGCGTGTGGGGTTGACGGGGCGTTGAACCAGTTCGGGAGCACGCCCTTTTGACACAGTGGGTAGCGCCTGTGCTTTCCAACGGAAGGGTCGGTGGGGAGTGCGATGCGTGACACGTGCAGCAAGGAGAGCTCCGTCAAACAGTTAGCAAGCAATGGAAACCGCTCCTCGGCAGTCATATAGAGAATTTTAATCTTCAATCAACAATACTGAAGGTCACCAACGTGCTCACACACCAAGTGAGGCACGCATGCAACTCTAGGTAAATCCTGAGTAATACGGCAGAGGAGGGGCAGGGGCCAGCAGTATGAAGTGTGTTATGGAGTCTGCTGCATGGGAGGCTCATCTTACTGAGGATGGTCCGCAAGCCTTTCCCACAACCTGTGCAAGCTGCAGGTAAGCACCTAGAGCGGGGCGGAAGTCAGTGAACTGCACTTGGGCAAAGGCATGAACAGCAGCCACCCCCTGCATGTCTCCACATTCATGCATAGCTGCATGCATGTGTCAATGTGGCACAGAGAGATAACCCACAAATATATCAAGTGCGTATGAAGCATAGCATAGAGGACGCCTACAGGTAATAGAGGCGTGAAAGATTGCTGATGGACTGTGGAATCGACCCCGAGACACTGTTCACAAGGATCTGGCTGCATGGCAGAGGTGGTAGTGAAGGGACTTGCTCAGAGAAGCTGCAGCGCCCGTTTAGTGTGCGAGGGTAAGTGAGGGCATCGTAGCGAGGGAGATGGTGTTATGGTCGGGCCACAGTGTAGCATGAAACGTATAAGTCAATCTCTCAATCTTTCCCTTTTGCATTGTTGTGAGAGCAGAGTGGAATTCCTTTCACGCTACTTGCATCTGGCGCAAGCCTTCACAATCTGGCACTAGTGTCACCCGCTGAGAATGGGGAATGCAGCGCGAGTGGTAGTGGTGTGCAGCAATGCAGCAGAAGCGGCACTGACATGACTTGAAGGCTGGTCATGGCGCCGATGGTGTCCGGGATGCTGCCACTCAACCGGTTGGTGGTGAGCCCTCTGCCGCAAGCAACAGATCACTCAGGGGAGACACGTGCATCAGGAGTGCATTGCCAACGATGCGTGCGAGTGCGAGACAGCCCTGCATGCAGGCGGGAAGCCTCTTCAAGTGGTATGCAGCACGCTTGCATGTTCCTTGGAGCTCCTACAGTCAGGCAGGCAGCTTCACAGTGATGCATAGTTACAGCAAGGGTGACAACATGGCATGACTCTAACGTCAGGCAGCTGTGGCAGGCGTGGCCAGGGGAACGAAGGGACACGCATGGACTGTAAAACGCAGATGGCAGAGGGGGAGGAGTTGATGGGCGGGGCAGGGTGGGGGATTGGTAGGGGAGAAGGGAGAGGGGAGCAGAGGAGGGGAGCTTACAAGTTGGCCAAGTTGGTGAGGTTTCCTATGGAGGGAGGAATGGAGCCACTCAGATGCGTTGTATAGAACGACCTGTTGGCACGCCGGGAATGACGCAGGGAGGGAGGATCAATGTCACCACCAAGAGTGGGTGGTAGTAGCAGGAGGCTGGATAGGAAGGAGGGAGGAAGGGGGTCTGAGTGTGAGAATGACGAGGTGCTTACAGGTGAGTCAGTGCTGCGAGATTGCCAATGGAGGGAGGAATGGTGCCAGTGATGTTGTTGCCGTTGATGGCTCTGATGGGCGACAGGTGACAGGCGCAATGACAGAGATGGATGGAGAGAAACGCCGTGGCAATAGGTAACGACGAGACAGAAAGCAAACGTGGAAGTAGAGTGCATGGTGAAGTGTGAGATGGATCTTCTGGCAAGGCATGGACGCGGGTCACATGCAATGAAGAGGCAGCACTCGCATAGGGCCAGAGGGGGCTCACAGGTAGACGAGGTTGGTGAGGAGAGTGATGGATCCAGGGATAGTGCCAGTGAGGCCGTTGTCCCCGAGCAGTCTGAAAGATGAAATGTGGTGTTGAGGAAGAAAAGGGGTTGTAGGGCAAGCATAATGGCACGGATAGCTGATGTTCTGTAGCCTTCTCGGTCAGGGGTTCGCTCACTTTGGTGTAAGGCTGGGTTAACCACCCTTGCATGCAGTGTGTCAGAGTGCATTGAGACTAGTTACACACTGCAATCTTTGGTGGGCGAACCACCCATTCTAGGTTGGTGATTAACCACCCGCCTGGGCTCCTCTCTTTCTGTTCTCTCTCTCACCCATCATTGTAAAATCTGGAGCTCTTGTGCTGATTTCTGACACAATCAACTTGAGCTGCCGCTTCATCTGTGCTGTCATTTTCCAGTTTGTGCTCGCTTCCATGAACCCGATGCCGCATCTCCCTTGCTGCTCAGCTACGGTTCACTCAAAGGCATGCTTGCTACCTCCTGACATCGCAATGGGGTTCGCAAGGCGTATGTCCCTACTCCTCCGGTTACATGGATGCGGGGCACATGGATGCATAGAGGCATAGGGGGCTCACAGGTAGACGAGGTTGGTGAGGAGAGTGATGGAGGCAGGGATAGTGCCAATGAGGCCGTTGTCCCCTAGCTGTCTGAAGATGAAATGCGTTGCTCAGGATGGGAAGGGCCGTAGGGCATAATGGCACGGATGCTTGATGTTTTGTAGCCTGCTAGGCCAGGGGTTCGCTCACGTTGGTGTAAGGCTGGGTGAACCACCCCTGCATGCAGTGAAGTGAGTCAATGTGCAATGAGAAAAGACATGGGCTTAAATCCGAGCCGGCTCGGCTCGCATCCAGCTCAGCTCACTGAGCCGAGCCGAAGCCTGGCTCGACCCGGCTCGGCTTCAGTTCGACCCCTCCCAAGAGTCGCGTTTATTTTAAACCTACTCTAGCCAGCGCCCCCCCTCCCTAGCCTAAGCACCATCTAAACACCCCCAACAACCATTCTAAACTCTTTAAGCGTCACCAGGTTACCCCCCACCCTGGCTTCAGGGCTTAAAAAACGAGCCAAGCCGAGCTGGCTCGTTTTACGGCTAGCCTACACCGAAGCCAGCTCGGCTCGACTCGGCTCGACTGAAGCCCAGCTCGAAGTGACTGGGGGGACGTGTAAGCTACAAGGTGTGCTGGGCAGGGGCGAGGAGCAGTGTGGGCGCTGTGGCGCTCATGGTGAGGTGAGACACGCGGTGGCAGTGAGGGAGAGCTTTCTGCTCTCTGCGGCGCACAGAGCACAGCCTAGCGCGCAGCAGGAGTGACTCGGTGAGTGGATGACACATGGGCGGGTGAGGTGAGGCGTACAGGTGAGTGAGCTGAACGAGGTCGCCAATGGAGTCGGGCAGCGGCCCCCCCAGCGATATGTGCTCAATTGTGCTGCGGGTTAGCGCACACGCACGGGGTACATGGGGGGGGAGGGGGCAGAGACGGGGGATGAGGGGTTTTGTGACGGTAGTACTTGGGGAGGGTACGCTTCTTCAAGGCATGGCAGGAGCTATTAACGAGGGTCGGGCCATGGCCATGGCTGTGGTGGTGCAAGGCACTTTTGGTTGAGGAGTGTGTGTGTGGTTGAGGTGCGAGAGGAAGTAGTGGCGGTGGCGTGGTGATCGGAGCGGGTGGATGCGATGAGAGCGGGTGGATGCGATGAGAGTGGGTGGATGCGATGAGAGTGGGTGGATGCGATGAGAGTGGGTGGATGCGATGAGAGTGGGTGGATGCGATGAGAGTGGGTGGATGCGATGAGAGCGGGTGGATGCGATGAGAGCGGGTGGATGCGATGAGAGCGGGTGGATGCGATGAGAGCGGGTGGATGCGATGAGAGTGGGTGGATGCGATGAGAGCGGGTGGATGCGATGAGAATGCACATTCATGTGCGAACAAGGAGATGGCATGAGGGAGGAGGGGGGGGGAAGGGGACAGGGGATGATGGGAGAGGCGGATAGGGAAAGATGTGACAGGCAGGCAGTGGGAAAGGGTTGGGGAGGGAAGGGGGGTGGGGAGGAGAAGCAAGATGGGAGCGCAGTGCTGGGCCATGGTCCCTGGATTCCATGGCATTTCCCTCTCCTGCACAGCACACCTGCCCTCCCCTCGCCGCCGCCTACATGTTGGTGATCATCCCCGCAGCATCGCATGTGAGGAAGGATGCATTCGCGCAGTTGCCCCCCGGCGTCCACCCTGCCATGTTCGCGCCCCATGCGTCCTGGCAGTCCAACAGAAACGCATCTGCACACGGCGGGGCGGAGGGAAGAGCGCCGCTCGGTGGATTGAGCCCTCACAGTGGGTTGATTCCCCCACGGGGAAGCCCTCACAGGGAAGAAGTGGGGCAATGTGCTATCCTGTGCTTCCCTCTCCTGGACGACAGCACTGCGGCGCTGCTGGACGACAGCACTGGGTCTTGTCACCAGAGCGTGCTATACCAGAGCGTGCTACACCAGAGCGTGCTACACCACAGCGTGCTACACCACAGCGTGCTACACCACAGCGTGCTATACCAGAGCGTGTTACACCTCTGCATGCGTCGACTCAAGCCCAGCTCAGCGCCAGCCGTCTGAGAACAGCTGGAGAGTGGGCGATGGGGAACGGCTAGTCAGAGCGGTCACTTTGCCCTCCGGGCCGCGGCTCCGTGCGTCGCTAGAACTAGTAGCGCGTGCTCGCGAGCACCGATCCTGCATGATGCGCTGCTGCGTCAGTCCGCACAATCGTAAGTTACGCCACCACTGCCGCGGCCTGTAGGTATTACGCCCCGCTCGCGACCTGTTACGGGCTCTCGCTTGCGACGAAACGGCGTACCTTGCGACGAGTCGATGGTCTGAGCGGCCGACAGGGAGCAACTTGAAAGCGCGCTCGCCAAGAAGAGTAGCGCGCCGAGCCTGAGGACTATTAGATGCATAGCGTTTCGCATGACGACCGTGTACCCTGTGCAGAATAACGAAGAACGAAGACACGCGCGCTCAAGGAGGCTATCATCCCAAAGACTCCAGATTTTATGCAGTAGTAGTACTGCACGGAGGCGAATGGTTCTGTGTGTCCACGCATGACGGACGGGGAGTGCAGGGCGCTTCTCGTGAGAGCCACGCCCGACGTGGCGCTGGTGAGGGTGGCAGCTAGGCACGTGGTAGCACTGCTGGACGTGCTCCCACTGGTGCTCTCACATTGACTTGGCGTGAACCAAAAAGATATTCAGTGTAAGGAAATCCCCTTTTCCTTACTCGGCTCGACTACAGCGCGTACGCCCTCGACTCTCTGAAGTCCAGGCTCGGCCAACTTCTTCGGCCCTAAACCATTTCGTGAACCCAAACCTAGACGCGCGGCGCTTCCATGGCTTTCGCCAAACGGACCACCCCAACCTGTTCGCGTGGTTCTCGGCTAGCTCTGTTCGTGCCTATAAATACCTAGGCCCTCATTTGTATCGACACTCTTGAATCACGACTCCTTTATTACACTAGCTGTTATTACTCTGATTAATTCTTAACAGCTGGTATTTGAGCCCCGTTCCTGCCCGCTTAGTCTTCCGTGGGGTAGTCCGTTTATCACGGGAGAGGACCCGACAGAATAGGGGGTTGGCCTGTGGTTGGTAGGTGAGCTCGTTAAAGCTCCTCAAACTAAAAGCGTGTGCACCCTCAGATCTGTCTGGTAAAATTTCCAGCATGACTACCACGCCGGAAACCTCTGCCCGTCGTACTGTTAGGAATATTGACTCAGGAGGAGTTTCACGAATTGCAAGCCAGGGCGGCTATAGTAACGACACTGCAGGCCCAGCTTCAACAACTCGCCGATAAATTCGAGTCGCTGGGAAGCGAAGTACAGACGCTGCGCAACGAATACTCGTCGCTTCGCCAGACGCGGGGTGAAACGCGTCAGGGACGTCCTGTTACCCGAGACGAAGATGCTGCGAGCGAAGCGAGGGCGTCGGCGATACCTGAAGCAGTTGAAGAAATCCACAGCGAGCCGCGGGCAGCCATTAAAATCAAACCACCAATGCCTCCGACGTTCAACCTGAATGACATGACAACTACAGTGAGCGGGTGGCGGACCAGCACTCGACTGGTGGCGCATGCATCTAGACGAGGGAGGAGCCCCGGCAGGGAACCAACGGGCCGTAGATAGGGAGCTAAGTTCATCAACGGCGAAGGCAGAACCCATCTTTGGGTCGGCCACGATCCGCACGTGGAAAGCGTGGGGCGAAGCGTTGGAGGGTAGATATGAGCAGATATCAATGCGCGAAAATGCTTGCACAAAGCTTCGGATATGGAGACAGTTGGGCTCTGTCCAAGAATACACGGCATCGTTTTTGGCGATCTGCGACCAAATCGGAGGGCTTAGCGAAGACGAGCGTATGGATTGCTACGTGGGTGGTCTAAAGCCGGAGATTCAGCAAGAGATTGTCCTACGAGCCCCGACGACATTCAACGAAGTAGTTCGCATAGCAGATGCGCTGGATGCACGTCGTGGACTCGCGAGAGCGGGTTTCCGGGAGGGAAATCGCTTTCGAGGCCAGCCCCAACACACATCAATCAACGGCGTGGACGTGTTTGCAGCCTGAGTATTTTCGGGAACCTGCTTCCATTGCAACCAGCCGGGTCACACGGTGAGGGAGTGCCAGCAGCTGAGCAAGAACTTACCTAACTACAAGAAGCAGTCGGGAAATGGAGATCGTCAGTAACAGATGGGCCACCTACGGACTTCACTGCGTCGCCCAAACGCCACCACCCCCACCAGGTTATAGTGCCGATTTGGGCTATCGACCATTCCTGGCTGAATAAGGGGGGTGAACCGGTTGATCGCCCTGTGCTGGTTGAAGGGAGAGTTGGCGACACCCGCATCAAAATATTCGTTGATGGCGGGGTGAGCCACAGTTTGATGGACGTGACGAAGGCAAAAAAATTGCGATTGCAGCTGGAACAGTGCATGCCTAAAATTGACGCGAGACTGGTTGACAGCACACCCTTTGCCATTCCAGAGCAGGTACCTCATGTGCGAGTGACATGCGGTGAAAAATTCAGCTCCACGATGAAGATGCTGGCGAAAACTTTGGACGGTTGCGACATGCTGCTGGGACGTGATTGGCAGCGCGAATACAACCCGAGGATCGACTGGCGGACAGGCGATTGTCGCATAAAATGGAGTGGCGAATGGCGACGACTACCCAAGTGGAGCTGTCAAGATTCGACCACATCGACGGTAAGCGCAGTGACGATCAAGCGAGCAATGATTCAAGGGGCACAACTGTACGCCATCCAATGGATCGCCTCAACGGCTGTCGACGCGCCGACCGATATCGAAAAACTCTGCGCGGCTGTCTCGGATGACTTGGCGATGGTGATTCGGAAACACGCCGACATTTTTTTCAGACGACCTACCGACGGATTTGCCACCTGAGCGAGAACATGACCACAAAATCGAGCTGGAGCCCGGCTCGCAGCCTACTGTTCGGACTCAATGGCGGCCGACTCAGCCCGAGCTGACTGAACTTCGAAGCCAGCTGGACTACCTGCTCGAGAAAGGTTTCGTTCGCCCCAACACATCCCCGTTTGCAGCTCCATTCTTGTTCACCCCA